CAGGCTAGGAAGCACCCGAATAACTGAAATGGTTAAAGAATGAAAAAAGTTGGTAATTACAAGAAGAATTGGCTGGCATTCAGAAACAACATTAGTATAAAACTGGTATGTTTTCGAACTTGGCAGATATAGATGATATTACAATACAGAGATAAACACTTACCTTTTACCCAATATCTAATAACGATTTGTTTCGCTCAGTTAGGGTAAATTCCTGTTCTCATAAGAAGAATGCGAAACTTGGAATTAGTCGTGATGGGAATGCGATTCAGATTCCTCTGAATGCTATGGCCTTCATTATTTCACACTTTCAGTAATTTTTACAGACAGTCTTTCCTGTTTGTTTTTAAGGATTCCAGTAAAGATACAATGTGCATTGTTCTTTTAGCTATTTTTAGCAGCTGTTCTCAATATACTCTTATCAATCCAGTCATTCATTTTATGATTATCACCTACATTAATAAACAGCAGTGCCAAGATGTGTCCCATGGGAAACAAATATACAATGCAGAAAGTGTCACCCTGGTTGTTCAGACTGAAATTATAATGTCTTTTATTATAGTGGGAGTTGGTAATGGCCTTTCAATTGCAGTTGTCTAATGATTTCTGGCATAAAACATCCTTGTGGCAATTTTTTGTTTGCTTTTTTCTTTGGTGTACTTTTAAGTTTTAGCCCCTTTGTTGTTTGCGATATGCTTTTGCAATTCAGCAGGGGAAAGTCTTTAATGCAAGGAAGCCGTCTGCATCCCTTGAAATTTAATTAGATTTTTCTACAACATGAACTGCTGGAAACAATTATTTTCTTTCTCTTGCATTCCTCAGAGAAATTCTGGCAATGCAGGAGAACCAAAATGAAAAGATGTTGTAAATAGGTAACCCAACTTACAGTTTAGGCAAAGCCTGGTGAGAGTATATGGTGCCCTGGGTAAAATGGCAGACAGCAGATGGTGTTAGAAGGAAGGGAAGGACAGAGAGAGGGACCATCACCAAGATCAAAGACATGGTTTTTGTGTTTTCTAGCTTTTTCTGATTACACTGTAGGGACCCTGGCAGTGTGCAAGGCCAGGTTGGACAGAGCCTTGGGTGACATGGTTTTTGTGTGGTGTCCCTGCCCATGGTAGAGCAGGGTTGGAAGCAGGTGATCTTAAGGTCCTTTCCAACCCAAACCATTCTATGATGCTATGATTCTATGATGACAGACAAGAAGGCGAAAGAAAAAAGGTGCACTCCCATTTGCCTTGGTATCCTTCCTCCCAGACTATCACATTTGCCCACTGCCATGTAGGCAAATCTTTCTTTTCTATAACTGCAACCTCTGTTGTAATCCAAGAAATTAGAGGTCTATGATGATGCCATTTGGGGATTAGTTGCAGTTGACTAATAAAGATTTACCTTCCATTTTTTTCCTGTGGAAAAAACCACAAAAAATGTCAAAGGCAAATAACCTGGACTAGGAGAACACTGGTTGCTATGTTAAGTACAAGAGGGTATGGAACTGGCAGATTTAAGTTTGCTGTACAAACTCAGTTTTGCCCTTATGTGCTTTCAACTGTAGTAACAAATGGACATTAATAACTCAAATTTCCTTGATTATTTGCTTAGTTTTTACCTCAACTGACAATGGCAACAAACCCAACCATTTGTGATTCAGCTGCTTTACACTCCCACATAAACTAGCAGGCTGCAGCCACCTACCTACTCACCCAGGCACTTCAAACCAGGACTTACTGCTGAACTGCCAGCCCTGCCGTCCCATTGCCGAGCTTGTCTGCAAGCTTATTTCATTCTCTTGCCTACACCACATATGTTACCCTGCCACATGTTCATGAGTGGAGCTGGCACGGAAGCCCATGAAGGGTGGTGGCAGGCTTGGAGATGGTGTCTAGTCTAGGCAAGCATCTTGATCACCCACTTCCCAATGCTGCCATCACTGCCACAATCCTTATCAAGGATTGATAAGGCAGGGGTGGCCCTTCCTGGAACAACAGCAGCAACTGTCCTTGCAGTCTGTACCCAAGTCTTCCTTAGCACCATTCCCAGCCTGCCCCCTTCCTACCCAGGGCACTCCCATGCCTCCTTGTCACAGGCCTATCTCTTCTCCTTTACCCATCTCCCCTCGTAGGACTGGAAGCCACACCTCACCCAGGCCCCATGCCTCTTCCCATGCCCTTCCAGTAGCCTGAGAAGTGCAGGAAGAAAAGTAGTGGCTGCTGCAAGTGGAGCATGGGAGGGAGCTGCTCTTGAGGGGTCAAGGTGTATGTAGACACCTAGCTGGAGCAGAGAGGGGTCTTCACAAACCGTGCAGAAGAAAATCGTCCACTGTATTGACCTGGCTGCACCAATGACCCCTTTCTTCAGGATGCAAACATATTCCTCCCAGACACTCCACCATACCAGTGGTTGCCTGTTGTGCTCTCCCTGCATTCTTGGTGCTGCAATGCTCTGCTCAGCTGTGCTGCAGACTTACGTTTTGCCAACCCCTGAACTGACAAACAGGCTGGTCTGGGCTGAGCCGTTTTGGGGGGTAGGAGGAATGCTTCTGTGTATGTCTAGATCATGTTTTTAAAGGGATGAGACCTTGATTAACTATGGGAAGATTTTTATCTTCTCTTGCTACAGTTAATTATTAATGAGATTTTTAGGGTTGTAGGTCACCCCTCACTCTCCCCCACTTCTCCCAGTATGAACAGATTTCCTTCCAAAAACATTATTCTGGGAATACAGCCAACATGCTTAAATGAGGCCAGCATTTATTACAAATAATGGGCATGAATTTATTGCTGAGGCAGTTATAAAGTGATCTAAAATATCAATTATAATGGAAAAAAGATCATTTGAACAGCGATGTGGGGGTTATAGTTTGGCCCATTGTCATTCATAATTGAGAACAGCATGGAAAATGGTTAAGTATCTTCCAAATGAAAGGAAGATATTTATTTATATGATAACTAAAGAACGCGAGAGGCTCTTGCAGCAAGTGGGTTTCCTCAGAATGAGGCACTAGAAATCTGAGAGCATTGTTTTTAATTTTTATTAGCATTTTGGGTAAAATGCTTGCCTCAGGAAGAGAGCTCTCCTTTTCTAAAAGTCACAGCTCATCTTTGGACTCAAACATGAATGAAAGCTGAGAGTTTTCTGCAGCCTCCTGCCAGGACATTGGTGATTGCAGTGGTGCTCCTTTTTTGCCTGCTACAAGTGCCTGCAGGGCTCCATGGGGTTGGTAAGATTTCTCCTTTGAGAAAGAGCTTTCTGGAGGGAATATGACACTTTTCTTTCCCTCCATATGCCCTTCTTATTTTCCCCCTTCCTGAGGCTCAGCCAATCTGCACAAATAAAAGATTCACTTTTATGACAGCAAAAATCCTGAAAATATGTAAAATGGCTTAATTGAGGAATAGGATGCAGATGCTGTTAGTGAAAGGTCCAGATTTCCACGATTCCTTGACAAGTTTTGAATATGAAACTCCTGAGCTCCAGTTAAAATCCTGGACTCTTAGCACCCCAGTTCAGCTGCTCTTTACTCCTGCAACTTAAACTTTAAACATTAATCTTCCCCAGCTATGTAAATCATGCTTTTCATTATGCTTGTGGGCACCTATGTCTTGAGATTGCTGTGCAATTTAAGGACTATTTGATATTTAAGGCTGCCTGCTGGGATTTGCAATGCAGCTGTCTCTCTTCCTATTGCTCCTAGAGGGCTAGAACTGGTAAGGGCTTCTCAAAGTGTGTCTACCAGTTTAGGCCCTCCCAAAAATACAGCAGCAGGCATCTTCACTCAAGACAATGATGCTGGTGATGACCATTGCATAGTGTCACGTTTAGACTACAGGGTGCAATTCCAAATTTTGCCTGAGATGTGGTCCCTGTTACCAGAGTAGAGATTGTCCCTTTGGGGATCTCAACCAAAGACACATTGAGAATGAAACTAGGAAGGCCTCCTATGTTGTTAGTCATTAACTTAAAGCCTTTTTCCATTTTGGTCTACTAAGTACACCTCTTGTTGATGTAGAAAGCATCATAAAATGTTGGTTTAGGTTTTCTCTGAAGGTGTGAGCTGTACATGCAAGATTGGTTTGTTTCATCTTTGAAGGTAGGCAGCTTCCATTTGACACTACACTGATTTAGAATATTATCTCTGCAGCAGTTAATATGGTGGGTTTGGCTGTGTTGTCAACGAACCTAAAAAGGTTGTGAGACAACCATTGTATAAATTTGGGGAAAACAGTATTTGAAGACAACAGGATTATACAACTGTGACTAAAGATAGAAATCTGGTCTAAGAAAAATCTGCATTTAAGTCTTAGAGGGATAACAGGACTATGGAGAATACAATATTTGTGTTTACGGAGTTTAACAGGCAAACTTTATTTTTTTAAAATCTTGTACTGGTTAAATTGTGATAGCTGGGAATGTAATAGAAGTGTTTGTAGCTGAATACGGGAAAACAACAGTATTTTTCAAAACTTTACTGGTAGCTAATTTTAAATCTTGTTCACCAGAATTACTGCTAAACACAATAATGACTGCTTACTGATCCACAACATACATTAACACAATCAATTGTCTAATTTGCTATTGGGCTGCATAGACTGTGAGATGACAGGCAGGAAATTATTTATCCTCCTATATTCTGTCTTGCCCTGTCCTGCCCTTAAACCATTTTGTCTATATGTTTCATTTCTAAGTCGTGTCTGCTTATACTTTGAACATGGGTTATGAGCAGCATTAGGAAAGAAAAAAGAGAAAATTATACTGAGCATATCAGACAAGAGCAGAGAAATACCACAGGAAAAGTCTCCAGTCTTGTCAGAAGTCATGCTTGCCAATAACTAGAGGGTATGGTTTTGGAAAGATTATATATTGGACGAGGCTGCAGCTTTGCAGCTTATTACTGTATTGTAGTAGCACTTACTGTGCTTGCTTGCAGCTCATAGCC